TGCCTGGACACCGCGAGCATGCGGACGTACCTGCGGTTTTGGCGTTACGCTGCCAATCTCCACCCAGCTGAAGCCAAGGTTGAACAGACCTGATGACATCTATGAGAGGCCATGTGGACACAGAGTAATTGCGACTCACCGTCGATTGCTTCGCCGTGCTTGTCGAAACCCGCGGCCAGTCCTACTGGGCTGGACAATGTCTCTCCCCACAACTACACATGCTTGAACCGTGGACCGCTTCCGACACAGAGCACGCACATACCTCAGTCTTGAGCACTTCATCGTCCGATAGCGGGTCGCGAGGGGCGAGCCCTGAACTCAGGACACGGACCGCGAGCTTGTGTCCTGCCTCCGGGTCGAGCGTATGTCGGAGGACTGGGGTGACGACATACTTGTGAATGGCAGCCCGGCAGTCAAAGTAGTAGATGGCGAAGAGGCCCGTCGAGACAGCGAAAAGCGACGCGTATGCGACAGTCTTCGCGGACGAGCGACTTGTCTGTTGCGACCCGGTCGACACGGCGCGGCGGGAAATAACAACTCGACTATGGGGTGACCGCAGGAGCCGTTGCACACCGCGCGTTGAAGACAGAGCCAATCCCGCAGTCATATAGATCAGACGAGATGAAAGCAAGGTTTGACAAAGAACAGAGGACGAGCACGAAGGAGTCAAGGGCTAACCACCACCCTATGCTGCCGCCCAACTCATGATATGTACTGCAGTGTGAGACGAGGTCCCAAAAAACTCTCTGTCGGGGAGTCGAACCCCGCTTTCGCGCGTTCGTCGTAGGATGACAGGCGCGTGTACTAACCGATATACTAACAGAGACATGATACGAACAAAATGGTGTATCTACATAGCCTGCGGGAACCGCTACACGGCTTACGAGTTACAGGAGCTGGGTACACTCGTAGCGGCCCATAAGTTTCTCTTCCGCCTCCCGCGATGAGCTATCTTTTACAGCGACCGTCAGAGCCACGATAGAACCCGTACAATATTGTACGTATCAGAGACTTCACTGCGGCGACTTCTGACCGTTGCTTGTACAGACTTCTAGTACATCCTCAATCCTTACCCGAACCGCACCCGGAGAAGTGATCTCTCCGTACGTCGACCTCGGCTGCGGTTGCTGCGTGAAACTGTGCTTACTGTTGTCATACTGTAGCCTTCGGGATTCTTGGCATATCTAGCCATACGTGCGGTGCCGAGTCTGTGCGCAGTGCGCATCGCCTTCGTTACGACTGTTCAGAGTGTTTGGTCGAGTCGTGAGCGCAGTAAAAGCGGATGGTACTGCGACGTAACAGCACCCTCCTCGCCCACGATGTCCTCTGCGGATGAAGACATCGCTCCGTCCGCTAAGAAGCGCAAGCTTCAACGTGCTTGCGACTACTGCAGGCGTAAGAAGAGTGAGTGAACTCGTTGACATTTTCGTTCGCCGCTGATACTTCTTCTGGCAGGCAAATGTAAGTATGTCCGCGAGTAAGAGCTGATTCCTACTCACGGATGCATCCAGGCGATGGACCCGAGATGCCAGACCATCGCTGCTCCAATTGTCAAGCTCGTCGCATTGAGTGCACCTACAAGGAACCTCACCGAGTAAGTGACATGTACTTGATAGCCGTAATATCTGCGCGCTGATCCATAATTGGCAGGGAAACTATCCGAGCAGGTCAGACAATTTGTGTGAAACTCACTCCGCGACACACATAGAATGATCAAATTACCAGCTATGCCAGGACACTCGAAAGCCGTCTCGAGCGCATGGAGAAGTTGATGAACAAGGTACGTTGTGCGCGTAAAAGCGCCTGTATCGCGCTCACAGCATGGTCAGCTATGCCCTGATGCAGATCTCTCCGGTGAACTTGAGGGAGAGGTCTCCGACCGCGGATCGGCAGCAGGGACCCTTGGCTCCGACGGGCCACGCGCAAGCACCTCTCGCCTGGACGGTCTGAGCCCGCTGAGCTCGCTCCCCGTCACCCCGCGGATGCCGCCAAGTCCTGAAGAGCTCGAGTCGAGCGACAACGACGACGGGCTGGACACGGGGTTAGTTGAAAGTCTGCGCAAGCTATCCGTTAGTCCCCAGCCATACCGCTATCATGGCAAGTCGAGCGGCCTAGTCCTCATCCGATCTGCCATCGGATTGAGGAACCAGCACCTGGGCAGCTCTGGCCAAGTCGAACCGCAGGAGAAGATACCGCACGAATTTCCAGTGCGTCATTTTTCTTAATCGCGGTCGATGTGTCACGCTTACGAATCTCTATCAAGTGGCTCATGCCCCCGAGTCAAGGGCCTTTGCCCGTCTTCGACCCGGACGTCTTCCCGCCAGATGACCTCTTGGACTCTCTGGTCGACCTGTACTTCCGCCGAGTAAACGATATAGTCCCGATCTTCCATGAGCCGACCTTCAGGGAGGATATCACACGCGGGCTCCACCTGAGACAGGGGGGCTTTGGTGCGGTCGTCCTCCTTCTTTGCGCATGCGCTGCGCGGTCCTCCGGAGATCCGCGCGTTCTGCTGGACGGAACGGACGACTGGAGATCTGCAGGCTGGAAGTGGTACCAGGCGGTCGATGACTGGCGCAAGGTCACGACCTCCCTCGCTCCCGCCCAGCTGCACGACTTGCAAATTTGCCTGGTGGGTCCTTCCACCTTTCTGCACCAGTGCCGATATTTATATTTAATGACCATTGGTAGCTTATGTGCAACTTTCTGCAAGGCTCTGCCGCTCCTCAGGCGAATTGGCCGCTTCTTGGAAATGGTCTCCGGATGGCGGTAGACGTAGGCGCTCATCGGAAGAAGATGTATAACGCGAAATTCACCATCCAGGATGAGTTGTGGCGGCGCGTGTTCTGGTAGTATCCCCTTCTTCCGTCCTGTTACTTGAGAGCCTCTGACTCCCCTTCAAGGGCCTTGGTTGTTTTCGAGTGGTTAACCGGGTACGGCTATGGAAGGCCGATCTTTCTGCACGATGAGGAGTGCGCATCTACTTCCACGCACTGCGACAATCACGCACATCTCTGACACTATCCTGGTGCAGCATCGACGTTGCCCTTCCGACAGAGATTGATGACGAGTACTGGCCGACCTCTGCTAGCGATGAACCACCTCGTCAGCCCGAGGGAAAGCCGTCCAAAGCCGCAGTCTTAGTGGCGCTGATACGGCTCACCCGGATTCTAGCCTCCGCACTCAGGACCATAGTAAGTTCTTTGTTCTCTGAGATACCTGCGTAGTCCGAACATTCATTCCCCCACGTCGTAGTACCCCATCAAGAGATCTAAATCGCAGCCCGGCCAGGACCCACAATGGGAACACCGCACCGTCACCGAACTCGATTCTTCCCTGAACAATTGGCTAGACTCCCTTCCAGCACACCGTCAGTGTCTGATTTACTGGGGGCTTCTGGTTGTCATACTGATGAACTACGTTAAGTGCGGTGGAATCCTGACCAGCCAGATGTCAACTTCCTCAGGCAGTCGGCTTCCCTCCATGCAAACTACTATCTGGTGCAGATCGCGGTTCATCGGCCCTTCATGTCGGCCTCTCGTCGCCAGTCTCCGCTGTCCCTCCCGTCGACTATCATTTGTACAAACGCAGCAAGGTCTACCCTCCAGGTCCTGGACGTCCTGCACAAGCGCACCGGAAGCCCGTATGAGAAGAACATGGTACATCTCACCGTCGTTTACTTCCAAATGTGCGCTGACTGCTGCTTGCACACGTTTCGCAGGGGCCGCTGTTCATGTCGGGCGCGATACTGTTTATGCACATTTTGGCACAGAAGCGCGCCGGGCGTTTGGCGAACGTCGAAGGAGACGTTGAACTCCTCCGACGGACTGTTCTGATGATGGACGCCATAAAGACGGAGTATGCGTGTGTAAATTTCTGTCGGCGGTGCAGCTACTGACATTTGGCTGTATCTTGCAGATCGCTGGTCTCGGGAACAATACGGTAAGTAGACCTTACGGCTCGCATCTCCATAGAGCTAACAGGGTGATTAGCGATGTCCTTGAGGCCCTCGTGCTGGCGGTGAGTAGCCCTCCTGCGGATCCACGCGCCACGGCGCCGCAAGAGTCTGGAGGCTCTGCAGCTCGGAGAGCAGGGGCCAGATCTTCTCCCTTCTTCGGTGCTCCACCCACTGCGTCTCAGTACTCGCCTTCACAAGGTTCCGACTTGGGCAACATGGCCCAGAACACACTCTCCCCGACTAGCAATCAATCCGGTCCTTCTGGCATAGGCGTGCAGTCCATGTTCGGGCTCGATTCTCTCGGGTATGGCGACCCCAGCTCCCTCTTCTCGTCCGGGAGCGGGTCCGGGTCCGGGTTCGACTTCGACTTCAACTTCGGCTTGGACCAGCATCCAACTGGGGCGCAGCAGTCGTTAGCTGCGGAAACCGCACCGCAGGCAGAAGATCTCGCGATGTCGGATCTCGCATTCATGGACGACACCCTGAACATGTGGACGAACGCCCCAGCAGCCTTCGGGTAAGTCGCGCGCTCTTGGACTCCTTTAACGAGGGTGGAGATCGCTGACGACTATAGCGTCTTTAGGCTAGATGACTGGGGTGCGTATCTTCGTAGTGCCAAAGACGACACGAACGCTGGCTCTGGTACATAGAACGAACATACGTATGCATCGTGATGTAGAGAACTTAGCGTTGTGATAGCCTCAACTCTACCGACTTCATCCGGTCGGTATTCGCGTAAAGTCTTTGAGCTTCAAATACCCAATGACTCCGGTTATAGAACTTGTAAGCTTGAAGGGCAATCAGTGTTACTGTCAGTAATTACCACGCACCAATGACTGAGCGTCCCGCTGCATACCACGGGTTGGCTGCGATCACTGCGCGGTGACACTGCGCTTTGCACCTTCTTCATGGTGCCGCCGATCTGCACACTGCTGTACTGCAACGTGCCGGCGTTTTGTGACGATATGCTGTGCAAGGACATACTTAAGTAGCGTGCAGGCGCGCGAACAGCTGGCAGCACTGTTTTCAGCAACCATGTCATCTGCGGAGGAAGACAACGCGCCATTCACCAAGAAGCGCAAGCTGCAGCGCGCTTGCGATCACTGTAGGCGTAAGAAGAGTGAGTGATATCTTCTGAGGAGTCATGTCTGTTGCTGATGTGCTCGCAGTCAAGTGTACGTCCGGCTGTACTCAAAAAACGAGATCCGTCAGCGCTCATGGTCCTCCCAGGCGATGGCCCCGAGAAACGGGACAATCGCTGCTCGAGATGTGAAGCGCGTAAGACTGAGTGCACCTATAACGAACCCCACATTGTGAGTACGATTTTTGGGATGTCTGTTGGTCTTCGAATTCACACAGCATCTGAATCAGAAAAGCAGCTATCCTAGCAGGTGAGAACCCCGTCTGTGTATTGACCCAACTGCAAATCGAAGTCGTTCAATCTCAGCTACGTCGAGAACCTCGAAAGTCGCCTTGAGCGGATGGAGAGACTGATGAACAAGGTACGTTGTATCGTCATATAAGCTCCTGTATCGCGCTCATCGTAACATAGCTGTGCCCTGATACCGACGTCTCTGGAGAGCTTGACGGACACGTATCAGATCGCGGATTGGAAGCACGAAATACTGGCTCTGAAGGACCTCGCGCAAGCACCTCTCGTGTGGAGGGACCGAGCCCACTCAGCTCGCTTCCGATAACGCCACAGGTGCCAGGAAGCCCGGATGACGATGATCTAAGCGATAATGACGAGGCCGTGGACAAAGGGTTGATTGAGAGTCTCCGGAAGCTCTCTGTTAGTCCCCAGCCATACCGCTATCATGGAAAGTCGAGTGGCCTCGTCCTAATCCAAACGGCGATCGAGGTGAGAA